GCGAGTGGCTGAATTTTGGAGCTGAACACTGCCTCATGTCCGTGTGTTTTTTTAACCCCTTTTTAAAAAAGAAGTGACATTTTGTTCATGTAGATTTATATTGCCCTTGTACTCAGTGGTGCTTCTGCTCAGCTCTGGTGCTGTCAGTCACTGTGGCGACTGACTTTATCTGTCACTCATGCTTTATTCACAAGGTATTTTTCACTCACTTCTGTCATCAAGCTTCTTGCCTTTTGTGCTTTGTTACCTCGTGGACGAGTCTTCCATTCATACTGCATTATTCCTGACCTCTGCTTGAACTTTCTTCCTCTCCTTCCACATATATTATTCGACTTTTCCACTGTGACAGGGAGTAAGAAAGAAAAGACATATTGCAGACTCAGAAAGAATTATAGTCTTAACTTCCTTTAGCAGAAGTGTGTGTTTTGGCTTTTGAAAATGAGAACAGAGTTTCATACCAAGGGGAGGCAAAATATCAAATGTGTTTCTGCAAAACGTATCTTAACCATGCAAATTGAAGTGGTTCTTCTAAGGCATTGAGTGCCTGTGTTTGCTGCTTCTCCCTGTGTCTCTCAAAGAGCACTCAAGGAGGAGTAGTATTAACTACAAGAGCCAGAGCCATTACTCGAGCCTAAAAACCATGGGTTTTGTGTCTAATGCTTGCAGTTTTTTGGGTCAAACTTCTGTTTTTTAACACTGCTCACTTATTCACTGAATGCCTGTGTGAAAGAGTAACAGCAGGCTGAAAATGCAGCCTCAGAGAGGTTGGGCAGTGTTTACAGAAGCTTGCAGACCCTGCTTTGTTCTGTGTACCCCCCATACTGCCAGAGCCCCTCCCAGTCCTCACTCTGCACCCTATTCCCCTCAGTAGGACATCTCGAGTCCCATTTTGCAGTCTCCAATAACTCTCTATCCCAGAAAGTTCTAGATGGATCTTTTTTCAGCCTTGCTGAAGGTTCAGCATCACTCTCAGCCAAACTCTGACATAGGTCTTGATAGTGCTGTAGCACTTGCACATTGGAATTGCAAGTGAACATGTCAGCTTTAGTGTCTGAGGCCTTGAGGGATTGATGGCAGGAAACTTCCTTCAGTGCTGGTGGTTGTTTGAAAGATTTCCCTGAAGCAAAGGTGATGGTATGACTGTTGGCAATACTGAAGCAGGTTTTGTACAAAAATCTTGTCCTAATCCATTGCTGGTAGCCTCTAGTTGTATGCTGGTATCTTTGGAGATGAAACTCTGAGCTTATGCCTTCATTTGTGACATGTGGAAACAAGCAGACCAAGCCCCTTCCTCCTCAGTTATCTTTCTGGCAGTGGCAAGTTTCTTCTGCCAAAAAATGTTGTGAAGATTGTAAATTTGTTACAGAAAGTCCATTAATCTTTTACTTTCTCCCCATCAGACTCCTCCACCAATTGTAGGTGGATGCACGGAGGACTGTTGCTGGTATAAAATATATAAGCTCTTTTTCTGGCTTTAAGATGTTTGCAATTTTGACATTTTCTCTAACCTAAAACTCACAGGCTCTGTTATGGTTTGTTATGGAATGCAGCACTTGAAGTAGAATAATGCTATCTATAGCACTAGGAAACATTACACAAAAATTAGGTAACTGGTCTCCTCCCTGCTGTCTTGCTCCTGGTAAGTATTGTATAATTCAGAGGAAAGTGATACCTTCTCTCTCACTACTGTTTTCTTGATAACCAAGTAAAAGGGAAATATGTGTAACCTGATCACAGTATTGAAATGTGTAGTGGGCAAACACTGAGTGTTGGAAGCTTTTTTTACATGGAATTATATGCTGTCATCCTCCTTTAAGAAATGATTTTGAGAAAATTGCCTATTAAAATTACGCTTGGGTAGTTGAAATGTTCAAAATTGTTCTCAAACCCTGTAGAAATTCATGACCATGTATGGTTGTACGGAATGGTTATTGAAAAAGACATTTGCTAGAACTGGTAACGGAAACTGGCTAATCTCAGTGGGGTGTGGGTGTGTAAATTATTTGCTCCACACTGTGTCTTTTAGACTAACTTTATAAACTAGGGTGATGTGGTGTTTGTATTCCTATCAGGTTTTAAGATTTCTGTACAGCATGCTTTTCTGTTTAATATCTCACTGTTGTTTATTCCATTTTAGGGAACTTTCTACAATTCTATTAAGTACAACAAGGAGAAAACATAAGCAAATAGTGGGTGTACAGAAGTAACAAAACCTAAATGTTTTATGCAGAAAAGATTCAACAAGTATCTCCTATCTACGAAGAATGAATCAAATTTTCACATTCTGTGACATTGCAGTACAATCTTGGATCAAACCACACATGGTTTTTTAACAAAAACGAGTTGAATGGTACTATATGCACTGATCTGATGCTGTGGAAATAAAATGGAATGCCGTTATTGTTTTCTTTATTCTTTGGGTTTTGCTTTACTGAGTGGATTTACTAAAAACAACAAAAGGTTTTATTCACAATGCCATCACTACAGGGTCAGTAGTGATGTCCTGTAAGGCAAGTCAGATGGCTTGCCTTATAGGCAAGCAGAACTTGTTGATATGAGATGAGTAAGTCTTAAAGTAGTAACTGGGCTTCACAGTAAGCCTAACATTTTAGGAGAGAGGGGAAATACAGCCACACAAATCTTATTATCATCATTGAGCTATATGATTAAACTGCTGGGATCATACTGAAAAGGTACATCTGTGCTACAGTACAGCTGTTTGGATGTGAATCAGGGGTCCAGTTCTATCATTCTTATTGGTGTTGAGTAGCATTTTACTTTGCCAATAGTTCTTCTGAAGCTTAGGACTAATCACAGCCAGTGTGAGAATGGCACAATTGAACTGCGTGTTAATGGAAGACAAATGCAGCAAGTTACTCAGGCTGATGAACAGGAAGTTGATTTGGCAAAGATATTTAAAACGTGAATTTTGCCATGACCAGTAAGTTCCTATTAAATCACAGAACAGATTCCAGTCCCGCTGAAATCAAGGGAAGTTTTCCCGTTGACTTCAGCGATACAAAGATTTGGACCTCCTTTGGATTCATCTTCCAATTTAAGATCATTTTTCTGATGCTTACTAAATGCTCCCCAGTGTTCATACATTAAAATGTGTGGCCAATTCAAATAGCGTTGTCTTGTACTGTAAAAACTAAAATAAAATATTTGTTTTGGCATCGTTGTAAGTGGAATTTTTGTCATGTGTTTAGAACTTATTATACACTGCTAGCTGCACGTAGGGAATGTTCCCTGCTCTTCTAAAAACATTTTTAGTACACGTTTAAGACATTAACTGTAACTTTATGGATTGAGTTTCCTGCTCAGTGGATTTACACTACAATACGAATCTAACTCTTAATTATTACCAATTGTTTGAAGTCCTTCTGCACATCAGATTGGTTTTGCCTGTGAGACTATCATTTTGTCTTTAATGAAAAAATTGTCATTAATAATATGATGTTAATGTTTTATGTTGCTGTGTGGTTTATTCCCTCTCTGTAACAGGAAAGCTGCTTGTGAGCTAATGCAAGCACCTTTTTGATTATTTCTCAACAAATTACTTTTATTTGCTGAGCATCTCTGCTTAAGAGCAGTTTATTTCTAACAATGCACTTGGAGATTCCTGTTAGTACCACCTTAGGTGCTGGTATCCTTTGTCAACTAATTTCTGTAGTGTATCCTAAAAAAAATGATAATAAAAGTTGGGCTGCAGCTTATTTCATTAATCTGCATTTCTTTTTTTTACTGTGTTTAGGGACATGATTTTCATCCCTTAATGGTTTGTGATGCATGATAAGTTTTCTACTATATGCTTTGCTTTGACTTTACTGCTTCCACACTTATTCTATAATCAATCTGGTGGGGACTTTGCTGTTTTAATACTTCAAACATAAGCTCTTGTCTGGTATACCTGCATAACAACACTCATTTGTGTTCCCCTCCTACACTGTCAATCCACAAAGCGTCCTTACTTTTAGAGACACACAGCTGCTTCTGGCACATGGCAATTCTGTCTGAGGTTATGGAAACATCTTCCTTTCTCGTACTTCCCTTCCTGCCATTTTCTCTAACTGAATGTGGCACTTTGTTCAGGCTTTTCAGTTTGTTAAGAATCTGTACCCCTAAAAACCTTGTTGGCTTATCTTGCAATTTGTGTCTAATCTCTACTCCCATTTCCTCTTATTTCCCCATTGGTTAGCTAAACCTGAGAGACTATTAATATGCACCTCTGCTAATTCTCTTTTCTGTTGCTTTTTTTAATGCTCTTTTTTTTTTGTGCACTTTTCCATATATCTGTAAGGCTAAATATTCATGTGGTGCAAGTTCTCGTAGAGAATGTGAATTTGAATCTGAGCTCTTTGCCTTTTACCTTTGCTGTACTGAGTGCCTCCTACTTAGGTTCAATACAGCACGTTCCATTCACCTTCAGTTTTCACGCAGACTCCCAGGGTGAGATTCACTTCTGACTTTAGAAGTCCACAGTGGCAGCTAAAGAAGTTTTTCTACAGAGCTGTTAAGATGTATAGAAAGATCTGCTTTTCTCTGTTGCCTGTAAATGGGGTCTTGGTAACTGTTTTGGATGTCTGCATCTCTTGGTAGCTCTCTATGCATTGGCTGCACCTAGGGATAAATAACATGGAGTGTATACGGTGTATGTGAATTCTTGAGAATGCAAATGAACTGCTGGTTTGACCGTTTTATATGACAGTTAATTTTTTTTTACTTTCTGAAGTATTGTATTTTTAGAAGCAGCAATTCTTTTTCATGGATCTCCCAACACTAATTTTGAACACCTTAATGAAACAACTGAAGTAGATAACGGCCAAACTGTTCAATTACTGAATTTGGAACAAATATGTTTAGTGATTTTGCTTATTTCTTACTTTGCCCATGGAAGAAAACTTCAAGTGTTAAGCTTAGTGGGAAGAGGAAGGTATGCATTTATTGGATTACAATTACTGTTGAATTCACAATATTGTTTTCATTTTAATGATTTACAGGAAGCCTGTTTACCTGTAAAACTCCAGCAATAGCAGATATTGTGATACTGGTAGATGGTTCTTGGAGTATTGGCAGATTCAATTTCAGACTTGTTCGACTCTTCCTGGAAAATCTGGTTTCTGCTTTCAATGTGGGATCTGAGAAAACAAGAGTAGGTATGGTGCCATGTTTTTTCTTCATATTTCTGTGGCAATGTAAAAACGTCATGATTTCAGGATAATTAACAGCTTAATGCTACATATTTGTGTGGAGTTTTTCCTCATCTGCAAGTAGCACTTCTCTCATAAAAGTAATGCTGCTGGTATGTTTGTTGTATTTATTCCTCACAGTTTCCTGTGATACTCAGCTTAAGTAATCTCTAGTGCAATGCCAGTGGAAAGGAAAAAACAGTAGAAACAGTCTTACTGACTTCAGTCAGCATTTGATCAAACCCTTGCAGTTTTGTTTTCAGAGGAAGAATGCGCCAATGGATGGCCTTTGTCATGGTTTAAACTGGTTCAAATGTTGTATTTCTGTTCTGCTGCTTATATTTTAGTCTGATTAAAAGTGTATTAAATGAAATAGTTCTTTTTCAAAAAACAATTTCTTGGAATCTGAAAAAAGTTGAGGACTCACTTACTTTCCTTAGCACCTTAGTATGGTAGCAAAGCTACTTGTGGTAAGCTTGATTTTGTAAGCTCTTGGATACCAAGTACGTAAAGGGTGAATGCTTGACAAAAATGCATTATTGCCTAATGGATTACCTTCATTTCTGGTTCCATAGGTCTGGCACAGTACAGTGGTGATCCTCGAATTGAATGGCATTTGAATGCCTATGGCACAAAAGATGCTGTTCTGGATGCAGTCCGTAACCTGCCATATAAGGGAGGGAATACATTAACAGGTACAGTGTATGTTTTACCTTTTGCCTTTTCTTAAAAAACATATTCTGGTGCACAGAGTAAGAGGCATTAGCGCTTATTACGAAGGGTAAAAAGGATAGGGGTTTGCAGCTTGCCAATGGCTTTATCCAATCTCAGTGAAGTCTTTTCTAAAGCGCTTCTCTGAGAATCTTTCTGGTCAGGACAGGGTCTCATAAACCAGTGCACATGAACTCACTGCGCTGGAAGTAAAATCTTTTACCTGCTAGGGAGAAAATGCAAAATCCATTCATAATGTTCATGCACAGAGCTTTATTCTGGGGAAGGAAAGAATGTTGTTTTAATATCTGACAACTGGCAATAGTAACTTTTCAAATGATTGCCTGGGGCTTTTAGATTTCCATTGACCTTTTAGTAGTTAGAGCACTGAAGTCCCAGAAGACACTTAGTGATGGATAAATGGGGGATGCCTGTCAACCTGTGAAAAGTACAGTCTCTGAATACAACTCCAGTATCATCAAAGCAGCAGTTAGTAATACTGACTGTCTCGCCAGGAGAATGATGTATCTGAAGACCCAGACATGGCTTTAAGTAAATTGCTCTCTTCCTTTTTTTTTTTTTTTCCCTTTTGTGGGGAGGAGAGGGCAGAAAGCATGTGAAAGATCCTCTTTCTTTTCTGCAACAGCCTTTAATTTGGTAGAAGGGGTGATTGCAGTGGGACAAGGACAGAACAACTCTGTTATGATTCTAGGAATGAGATTGCCATGAGGTAGCAACTAGTGAATTATCATGATTATTTATATCGATGTTAGAAGAAGGTGAGTTAGGAACCTTTTCATGTGGGAGACTTAAGACAGTATGCAGATGGGATCTCATTGTGACATGTAAGTTTGTCCTGAGGATTTCTTGTTCCTTCCATCTAAATAATTAGCTGTTATTAAAATCAAATTGTCCTTAAATTTTATTTAAGCTTTCTGCAGCTTCCAAATTGAAAAGAACAAACAAACAAAGAAAGTAAGGCTGTATGTAGTGTGGGGATTTAGGAAGCTCTCTGGAGCATGTGTTTTCAAATAAGCAGTGTAGGTACGAGGAGAGGGCACTTCCTATTCTAACTTTGTAGAATAAGAAAGAAATGATGTGTTCATAGGAAAGTCACTTTACATATCCATAGCCAGTTTAAAATACATTGATTGACCAAAAGGCTGCTGTAGCTGAATGTCACCTTGTCTGTAATTTAGGTTGCTTGTTGGAATTTAATCTTTCAAGAAATAAGCTCTTCTTTTATAGTTATTTTTCATTAAAGGGTTTCTCAGGATTTTTAAATTGAGTGGAAAGACAAATACTGTGATATTAGTAAAATTAATGGGTATTTTTCCCTTTTAAAGTCTTTTAAAATGCTTCCTTTTTTAGGTCTTGCCTTAACTTACATTTTGGAAAACAGCTTTAGGCCTGAAGCAGGTGCGAGACCTGGAGTATCTAAAATCGGTATACTGATCACTGATGGGAAGTCCCAAGATGATGTTATCCCTCCTGCTAAAAACCTACGAGATGCTGGCATCGAGCTGTTTGCTATTGGTGTGTATTCTGGCACATCCATATACTGGGTCCCATTATGCTCTGGAGTATTTGTATCTGTTGCCCTCTTTATTAAGGACGTGTTCTTTTCTGTCTGTATCCCCTAAGTATCATCATTGATTTAAAACTTCTTTAAGGTGTTCTCCAATTCATTGCTGCTGTTACTGGAATTTAGCTGCCGCGTTATCAGGAGACAGCTGAAAAAGCGCCAACTACGCTGGCAGAAATTGGTGTCTTGAAGACAGAGCTCTTAATGGCAGAACAGTCTGTAGTTGGTCATTAAAACAAATAGAAAGAATTGGATTTTAGTAATTTTTTAGTTATTATCAATCCCTGTGCGTGCAAGATTTATTTTCCTTTGTATTTTTTTGTCCAATGAAAGGTGTGAAGAATGCAGATATAAATGAACTCAAAGAGATTGCCTCGGAACCTGACAGCACACACGTCTACAATGTTGCTGACTTTAACTTCATGCATACCATTGTTGAAGGTCTTACCAGAACAGTGTGCTCACGAGTAGAGGAACAGGAGAAAGAAATCAAAGGTGAATAAGAAACAAGATCTAATGTAACTTAATATCAACTTAGAGCTACAAATTCCGTGCCAAATACCTGCAGTTCTAAGCTGGCTCCTGGCACTTGACTCTTGCTGTATATTCTTTTGCTCACAAGAAAGTACATTGTCAGGGAAATTACCTTCCTAGGTGTGTTTTATTCTGGCTTTGATATCTTTGATCTTTTGCTCTCTGTCTTTGATAATGATAAATATTATGGTATTTGGTGGTATCAAAAAATGCAAAAATATACATTCATGATGCTGCTGTAACTATTTCCTAGTGGTGGGTAAGGAAATTTTTTTTTATAATACACAGGTTTGGGGATGAATTACTTTAACAGCTGCACATGGAATTGCTAGGTTTGTGCTGTGCTTTTCATCTCCTAACTTACTGTTTTTATTGTCTCATAACTTTTCCAAGTTTTCAACTAGTAAGATTGCTTTGTCCCTTCCTGATGATGGATTTTTTCTTCTTCTTTCTTACTTAATACACAAAAAATTATATTTCAGAGCATAAGAAAAGATGGTGAAGACAATTGTTCTTAAATTTAAAAAAGACTTCTCTGACTACAATATTTTTTGCTTTTCTGAACAAAAGAAATGGCCATGAAAAAAAGGTACAGTTTGCCAGAGAAACAGTCCTACTTGAGAAAATTATTTCAGAAAGGCTTCAGTGGATTTTGTTTGTATTGCTTGGTTTGTGATTCTGTAATATCACAGAAATGCTGAGTGATTTTTTTTTTTTATAGATTGTCTTGGGTTGGAAGGGACCTTAAAGACCATCTAGTTCCAACCCCCCTGCCATGGGCAGGGACACCTTCCACTAGACCAGGTTGCTCAAAGCCTCATCCAGCCTGGCCTTGAACACTTCCAGGGATGGGGCATCCACAGCTTCTCTGGGCAACCTGTTCCAGTGCCTCACCACCCTCTCCGGGAAGAACTTCTTCCTGATATCTAATCTAAACCTCCCTGCTTTCAATTTAAACCTGTTAACCCCTTGTCCTGTCAATAACCCTGTAATATATATCAGTAAGAAAGGCTGTCTGTCACACGTATTTCTACCTGTGCAATGAGAAAGTGTGTATTGGTAAGGCTCCATTCCATTTTTTTTCCTCTTTTATTCACCTGGAAACTGTAACAAATACAGAATATTAGCTCTGTCTTGTAGAGGGAGTAAGCAGTCAATCAGGAAATTGAGAGAGGGAGGATGGAAAAACGATACAGAGATGAGACATCTTTGTGGAAAGGAATGATTACCAGAGACGATGACCATTCACTACATCTCTTCAATCTGCTGACAGGCAGCATATCAATTTCCAACCTGCAGAAGAGCACAGGAGAGAACAGCTGTATATGTACTTGGATGTTTTTCATGACTGGGAGAAAGGCAACCTGAAAAAAAAAACAGAAAGAAAGGGCTTGAAAGAGTGATGGGAGGAAGGTCAGGAAGGTTTAGTTTTGTATTTTTGTCTCTTTTGTATAAAGGTTTATGGAAGACCAGGGAGGCTTAGTCCCAGTGAAAACTCCACGTGCAATACTCATTCTTAGTTTGTTGTTTCCATTGTAAATGACCTAAATAAATGTGCAGTACCAATTATTTGATTATCTGATGAGGAGCGATTTTTCCAGTTTCATACAACAAACAGTACAATGTAGCAAATAATTACTTTGCAGAGGGAAATAAAAAATGTGTGTTGTCTCTAACCTAGGAACAGTTGTTGCTTCACTTGGGGCTCCTTCGGATTTGGTCACATCTGAGGTAACAGCTAGAGGATTCCGGGTTAGCTGGAGCCATGCACCAGGCAAAGTGGAAAAATACCGGGTTGTGTACTATCCCACTCGAGGAGGACAGCCAGAAGAGGTAATAAGAGGAAAAGCTTCCCAGGAAATTTTGGTACAACCACAAGAAGTGACCAGACAGAAAATCCATGGTCGTATTTAAATCTACCCTTAAATTCCCTCTCTGAGCTCTGAGGCCTGCTACAGAAAGGAGATAAGGTCCCATGGGATGGTGGTGAAGGTTAGGTAGTAGCCAGGCTGCTTTTCTGTCATGTCATTGAAAGCAAATATGTTATAACAAGGAGCACTCTTGAGGGGTGGGGTGAACTCTGCATTTTTGCTTACACATGCAGTTACTTGAACCAGTTCTGTACACTTCCCTTGTACCATTCTGTTCTCAAGAGCAGAAGAGGTCGGAGCGGATGGGAAACCAGATTTTCTGTTCTAAGAAAAAATAATTAATAAAAGGAGGATTATACGGGTGTATATTTTAGGTTGTCTACAACTGGTTATTGAAAATTTGGTGTTTATTTGAATAGGACTTAGGCATTTTGGAGGTGTGAAAAATGCAGTAGAACAAGCTTCTGGCTTCAGCTGTCAACTTAGAAAATTGAATGCAAATCCAGAAGAGCAAAAGGATTTAACTAACTAAAGATAGTTCTTTTTTTTTTTTTGTACTGGAAACTTGTTTAGCATGGGTATGTATTAATGTCAGTTTGAAGCATTTTGTGTGTACATATGCAGTACTAAAGGAATATTTATGATGATATCAAAATGTGCCCAATACACACTCTTAAAGTGTATTCTGTACACTTTATTTATCTAAGCAATTCCCTTGTTCTAAAGGGCTACTTATGTTGGCTAAGCATTTTGATTCTGTGTATGGTTGCTGTCCTATTTTCAGACACCTTACTGTACGTAAAGGTAGCAAAAGAAAATTTGATCTGTAAATTGAACCTTAGTACATTGAACCTTAGTTGTCAGTGCAAACACTGACTGACAGAGCGGGATTGATTGATTTGATGGTAATCGAGTTGCTTTGCTTTATGCCTATTTAATTGTATTTTCTTCTGAACAGGTTGTGGTAGATGGAAGCCTATCAACAGCAGTTCTGAAAAACTTGATGTCTTTAACTGAATACCAGATAGCTGTATTTGCTATATACTCAAATGCTGCTAGTGAGGGCCTTCGTGGAACTGAAACTACACGTAAGTATCCTTATCATGTTTGTTACAGGTTTGACTGTCTGCATTTGATCACACTGTGTAAGCATTAGTCTTTGTGAAAAGACATCCAGAAAGGAGTCTTTCTGAGTGTTGCTTTTTGTAATGCATTTGCTTTAAATTAGCTTGTTTGAATTGATTATGGGCCAAGTTCCTAAGTCCAAATCCTGTGTGGGTATTTAAATACTGAGAAAGGTTTACTCTCTGGGGTGAACTTTGAAGTTGGTTGTATTGAGCCCTAAACTAGAACATTCTTACACTTTGGGTGTGGAGCCAAGCTTTATAAATAAGGTTTGTGGCTGAAGATGATCTCATGAGTAGAGGATTAGGTGGGACCAGAAATACCTGCACGTGATTCCCACTAGTGCCAAAGATTTCAAGGTGACTTCTATAAGTTCCTTTCTCAATGATTCAGTGGATTTTTTTGTCTGTAAAATGATGGCTTGGGATATTGTTTGAATGAATACATTTACAGTTTTGGGTTCTATAATGAAAACTATGCTACTACCTGAGATAACGTGTTATTATTAATCATATGAGTTTTATGTATTTGTATAAAAAATACACTTGCTTTTTAGTAAATATGACAAATATTAGGAATGGAAGTAAAGAGTAACTTTTCAGTTCAAACTAGGAGGCCGGAAGTCAATATGCGACACATCAATAGCTGGTATCTACTGGAAGAACAACTCAGCAGGGCTCAAGCAGTCTAAATTTCCACAGTGCTTTGACACCTTCCTGACACAAGTGATCGAAGAGCCAGCAAGAGAAGGTGCTGTGCTGTAGCTGATACTTAAAACCAAGGAAAAACTGATAGGGGGTTTTAAAGTCACAGGTAGCCTTGGCTGCAGTGACAATGAGATGGTGGAATTCAGGATTCTAGTAAGAGGGAGGAGAGCAAAAAGCAGAATTACAACTCTGGATTTCAGGGTAGCAGTCTTCAGTCTCTTCAGAGACGTGCTTGGAAGAATCCCAGGGAATATGGCCCTGGAGAGAAGAGGGGTCCAGAAGAGCAGCTTGATACCTTGTAGGATCACATCCTACAAGCTCAAGAATCACATCCTACAAGCTCAGGAAAGGTTCATACTGACAAGTAAGAAATCAGGGAAAAGTGACAGGAGGCTGGCCTGGATAAGCAAGGATCTAACAGAACTCAGATAGAAAAAAGAGGTGTGTAAGAGATGGAAGAAGAGGCAGATGACCCAGGGGAAGTATAGAGTTACTGGCTGATCTTGAAGGGGTAAGTTTAGGAAGGCCAAGACCAGCCTGGAGCTGAATCTGGCAAGGGATGTGAAGAGCAACAAAACCAGACCCTACAAGTACATAAACAGTAAAAAGAAGACTGAGGAAAACATGGGCCCACTCCTGAATGGGATAGGAGATCGGGTGACAAATGAAGTGGAAAATACTGAGGTACTCAATACCCTCTTTGACTCAGTCTTTACCACTCAAAATGGCCTTCAGAAATCCCAGGCTGCTGAGATCAGTGGGAAAGTCTGGAGAAAGGGAGACTTAGTTATTTGAGGAGTACCAGTATAGGGAGCACTTAAGCAAACTGGACACACATGAGTCCGTGGAACTGGATGGGCTGCACCCGTGAGTGCTGAGGGAACTGGCTTATGTCACTGTGAGGACAGTCTCAATTATCCTTGGTAGGTCATTGTGACCGTGAGAAGTTCCTGAAGACGGGAAGGAAGCAAATGTCAGTCCTCTGTGAAGCAGGCTCTGGGAAACTATAGGACGGTCATTGTCACCTCAGTCCCAGGAAGGTGTGGGGCAACTAATCCTTGAAACCCTTTCCAAACACATGAAGGACAAGGAAGTGATCAGAATTAGTCAGCATGGATATATGAATGTTTGACCTCATGCAGTTCAACAAAGGGAAGTGCAAGTCCTGCCCCTGGGGACATATAGCCCCATGCGTTGGTACGTGCTGGGAGGTGACCAATGCTGGGAAGACAGCTCTGCAGAGAAGGTCCTGGGGGTCCTGGTAAACAACAAGCTGACTGTGAACCAGCAATGCAGCCTTGTCACAAAGAAGGTCAAAAGCCTCCTGGATTGCATTAGAGAAGTATTGCAAGCAAGTTGGGGGAAGTGACTCTTGCCCTCTCTCTGCTCAGCACAGATGAGGCCAATCCTGGATGCTTGGTTCTGTGCTGGGCTTCTCAAATGAGAGAGATGTGAATTTATTGGAGTGAGTCCAGTGAAAGGTCACACAGATGATTAAGGGCTTGGAGCATCTTTCATAAGAGGAGAGGCTGAGAGAGTTGAGGCTGTTGCCTGGAGATGGCTCAGGGGGATCTTATCAATGTGTAAGAATCTTTGATAGGAGGGAATGAAGAAGAGGGAGCCAGACTCTTCTCAATGGTGCCCACTGACAGGACAAGGGTCAATGGGCACAAATTAAAAAAAAAACGTGTAACTAAACCTGAACAGAAGAAGACGCAATTTTATTGTGATGGTGGTCAAACACTGGAGTAGGTTGTCCAGAGAGTTGTGGAGTCTGCATCCTGGAGATACTTAAAACTGAACTGGAGCTGGTTCTGAGCAACATGCTCTAGCTGACCCTAACTGAACAGGGAAGTTAGAGTAGATCTGAAGCGATGCCTTTCATCCTCAATGGTTCTTTTATTCTGTGTCAGTGAGAATTTTCCCAATCTGAAAAGAAAATAAAGTAGGATCATATAAAATTATTAGAGACTTCTGTCTTAGTCTCAGTCTCCCAAAATGTCATATCCAGCTATGTTATACCCCATAACAAGGTGTTAGGACCTGTTTTATTTATTGATGCAGAGAGAACAGAGTCACACACACTGAGCCAAGAGGATCATTTCGTATTGCACCTGGTATTCCTTTGAAGTCACCTAGTCAAGTTCTGACGGAGCCCAGCCCTGCTGGTTTTCTGAGATCTGATCAGATCACAGCCCACGGTCATGCAGCATCAAGTATTTTATACAATTGACTTTGATAGTGTGTTGGAAGGAATACTCTGACATGTGCAAGTATTAATCACTCCATATGATAAAATACCTGCAGTTTGAAAGTACTTTTTACTGTCCTAATGGAGAATTGTGGAAAATTGTAGTTTGCATTCCCACCTTTGTGTGAGATACTGACAGATTAAAATAGCCACCAAGCCCATCTGTCATACAGAACATTGAAAATAGTTTACAGGTATGTAAAATGTAAATAGACGCATTCAATATGCATAGCATACAGATAATTAGAGAGGTTTGTGATTTCATAATCACTTATAACTTGAAATAAATATGAAATACATATACATTTAAATTTGCTGCAAATATATTTTTACCTCTTTTAGTTTATTCCAGTCGGCTTTTAGCAGGTTTAATTTATCCCTGTGACTTTATTAGAGTACTCATAACAGCCCAAGACGCAAATCAGCATTTTCTGCTGGATACTTATATTTGAGATTCTGAGATCTTCAACTGAAAATTCCAGTAGAAAACACCACTTGTTTAGTTTTCAGTCACCTCTTTGTTAATTATTATTTATGTTGCCAGAGTATCTAGAAGTTCCTGTTGAGAATTAAAATATGAGTCATAAGTTAGAGGATACTTTGTTGTAGGTTTTTAGAATCAAAATAAGGAAAAGGACACATGATGGGTATTCTCTCTGTGATCCTGGGGCAGCTTGAAAAGGAATGAGACAGTGTGGTGGAAAGTGCCTTCAGAATATCCCAACATGTAGTTTCTTTCTGTAGGTGTCAGAGGTCTGAGTGGAGCTATGAGGGAGGAGAGTGAAGTATGTTTGAAATATGTATGGGTGGTTTCTCCATATAATGATGGAAAGCGTGGGAGAAAGCATGAAGCTCTTACCTAGAAATTCAGCATGTGTATGCTGAAGGTAGGCGTCATGGGAATAGAAGTCAACACATCAACAAGGGTTTAAAGAAAGGGTTTAAAGAGAATGAAGGTAGGCCGAGAAAAAGGTTTTGAAGTGCAGGTAGATGGGTAACCTGGGAATTGAAACCTGAGAGTTGAAGTTTTGCCGACACTTACAGGCTGAACAAGAGAGTGAGTTATCAGTCTCCGTGAACAAGAAAGGACGAGGTTGACATGTTTTGTACACGGGAAGTTGAGAGCTCTGTTAGAGCTTGTTGAATATAATGTAACAGATGTACAACTTGGAGATGTCAGCTGGACAGGCTGCAATTTTTGTTTGGACAAGGAGATTATAGAAGCTCTGTGAATTATTAGCATTGTAATTAGAATTGGATGCTGAATCTGTGTTTGCAGATCAGATTCTGCAGAAACACGCAAAGCAAGACCTTTGCAGAGGCTTAATATCCGCCCTGTTACAGTCTGAGTTCATAATAGTAAAGGATTGATACAAATTACCAATTGTCTTCTGTTCCTTTCAGCTTCTCTGAGTCATTTTAGGTACTATTCTCTGTGTAGAAGTTCTGAAGAAGCAGCCAAAGTTCCCTTACGTCTCTGCAATGACCAGATATTTTGGCGGGATCCATCAGGGATGTAACAGCAGTGGCCTTGAGATGTTATTCTGTGAGGCAGAAAATGAGGGTAATCAGAGAAGTGTGAAGTGCTACATTAAAGAGTTACAGAAATACAAAGAGAAATTTGGGAACCCAGATTAGTTCTGTGTTCTGGTGTCAGTGCCATAAATTCATAAGTAAACCTCCTTATAACGTTTGGATTTTACTCAGCCTGCTTAGTGGGTGAGATCTCAACAGAGTGATTTGGGCTTAAAGAGCAGAAATCCTTCCACTTGAACTTTTCAAAGCCATTTAGGACAAAGAGCTGAAATGCTTTGTTAGGGGTAACTCTGCCCTGGCATTAGCATTGGTTAGGTCCTCATTCCTCTAATGCTGCGATCTTTTATGTACTAATCAGGTCTTTATAATTGTGGCATACAGACAGAACTTCCGTGCCTGGAGATAGATATATTCCTTTGTGCTTCTTGGGGTAAAATAAACTGTTTGAAAAACAGCTGGTAGTTCAAGAGAGACATCTGAAGTGTTTGGCTCTTTTTTCCACTGTAGTTGCTTTGCCAATGGCATCAGATCTGCAATTGTACGATGTGTCACAAAGCAGCATGAGAGCCAAGTGGAATGGAGTAGCGGGTGCCACAGGTTACATGATCCTATACGCTCCCCTCACGGAAGGATTGGCAGCAGATGAGAAGGAGGTGATGTATTGTGCTTTCATTTGAATAGCTATTATTGAAAAAATAAATCCTTTAAAGAATAAACTAGTACACGGCCTTTAACCTCCAATTTGATCAGCAAATATTTTGTCTTTTTCTTCCATGAATGCCTTAAACACTGTATGTTTAACTGACTATGAACAAAGTGCAAGTACCCAGTTTATTATTTTTATACGTCATTGCCATAAAAAATGCACCGATTTCAGCTGAATTAAAGTGACTCTTCTGAAATTATATATGAGGTGATATTGTACCATCATATAAAACTAACACTCAAAGGAAGAAAAATCTCAAAGATATTTTCGAAGTGTGTTATCAGAAGAATATGAAGTTTAGCCTTTGTTCTCATCAGGACCTTTAAAAGTAAATAAAATTTGTAGGTGTGACCTTTATAGTTTTCTTTTAGTTCTGTTCAAACTTTATTTTTAAATTTAAAAGTAATGCCTTCCATCAAAAGTGATTTTTATAAGATAATTTTAGAAGAAGGAGAAGGTGGGACAAGGTAAAATTTGATCTTCTGTCGCTGAAATAATAAAACTAGTAGACTTTTCTGAAGTTGCTAGCATAGTTCCAATGGAACTTTTGGTCTACAATTTAAAAGTTTTTATGCTCAAGTTTCTATATGTATAATTAAGATTTTATACAACATTTTTGTTCAGGCAAGAACACTAAAAAGCATGCAGGGGCATGCGAACTTGCGGAGAGTGTAGGAAGCTACTGAAAGCTCGCATAGACTTGTGCTCTCTGCTGAATGAGTGGCTGTGAGCATGTAATTCTATTAGAAATGGGGCCTCCCTGAAAAATCGCTGATTCAGGAGAACTGAAGAAAGCCTTTTTTTCAGTAAATCAGTCAGTCCATGTTAATGTGGCTCTCAGTGAAGAGGTGGAGGAAGAAAATGATACACACCTTAAATAGCAACAAATCTGAGCTTTGATGTGCTTGGAAATTAATTCCTCCTGTAACGTTTAAGACTTAGGACCAAAGGTGAAATAAGGTGTAGCTGGGAATGAAAAGGCCTCAGTAGCTGCATGTTGTAGAGACGGGTCTTTTATCATTACTAATGTGACTTGTTAAAGTCCTCTTACCTGTACGTTGGCTTTTGGCTTTTTTGATGATTTTGTTCTTTCGATTAATGTGCAAAATCCCAAAATCTTGTGCCAAGTACTGCAGGCAAAGTATCAGACAAATGTTCAGCACAGCATTGGATCATATGTCTGATTTCCATTGTGTAAACAGTATTCTTTCCCATCATGAATTAATTCGGAAACAATTTGTCTTTTTTATTCACGGTGTTTTTAGATAAAAATTGGGGAGGAGTCAACAGATCTTGAACTGGATGGACTGTTGCCAAACACGGAATATACAGTCACAGTTTATGCCATGTTTGGAGAAGAAGCCAGCGATCCCCTTACAGGACAAGAAACTACATGTAGGTAGCACATATCTATATTCACTTCAGTGTTAATAAAACTTCAGAATAGTCTTTGCACGTATTAGAGCAGACATCTGATTTTAAAACCTGATTTGCATAGTCCATAGGGCAAGGTCTTCACTGTACTTAAGTTTCTCAGAGCAAACAATCTCTAGAGATTGAGAATGTGAGTTTCTACAAAACGGCTTTTTTTGAAACAGGTTTGTAAAATCTTCTCTCTTGGTGGTGGTTGTACTGTGGAAATCCATATTGATCTTGGTGTAACTACTGATGGTTTTCTGAACTTGCTGAAGGTGAACGAAGGTCACCACGTAGAGCTAAACTGAGACTGCTGTATTTAGGCTCCTGTAGCCAGAGAATCAGGTGTGTTGGGGAGCCTGCTCAGATGAAGAAGTTCATTCCTTTGGCTCAGTAGTAGTGCAGACAGAAAAAAAGCAAAGAGAAGATTTCTGCCCAGCCCCTGCTGCCTAACATCTGGTAAACGAAGGGTTGGAAAGTGCCTGTACACTCCTGATGGTGTGTTTTTAATAAGCAGCAAGAGTTTTGCCAGCTAAATTCTGTCCTCTGCTAACTGTACACAGCCCCGTATGTCAGCTCTCTAAATAGCCTCAGCATTTGGAAGACAAAGGAATTGAAAATAAGCAACTGTGCTGCTGGGCTATTTCTGGGACTTCATTCAGTGACATCTCTTGCTCCCAGCAGTGGAATGATTGCTTCCTCTTGTTTTGTGCTCCTGGCATGAGTAAGCCAGTGTGAGAGTGACATTTAATAGGTGAGAGAAGTTCAGGCATGTGAGTGCTATGAAGAATTGCTTGTAAGGTCAGCAACTAATGATGGAAGAAGGTCTAGGAATGCTGTTTGCACTGGCTCATCTCTGAGAGGACAGTTGTAGACAGATAAGTGCCAATAGTGACCTACTGCAACCTGGGCATGTTTGTGGACTTGAAATGAGTGTGGAAGATTCTTAACACTTGGAGAATCAAATCTTTGGCTCTTTGTCCCTCTGCCCCTTTCTGTCTCTTACTGCATCTCCTTCCCTGCCCTCCCTTCTCTTTGCTTTTGGTCAATATCTGACCAATATCTGGTTTTCATTAACCCTGACCAGTAGTTTATGTACTTTTTCTGACTGTGCCAGCCTGAATTCACTTCACGTCGTATGATCTTGGAGGCTGCACGGCTCTAAACCTGGCTAACACATTGGGTGGAAGATCACATGGAAATTCCAGATGCATTGGCACAAGCTAAGGATTCATGACCTCAGTGTTTGATCACAGAAGCTAGTAACATCTGTTACTCAGCCCATCATCACTTCTGTTACCAGACCAGAATAAAAACCCCCTAACTACCCTGCAACTTTCATTTATTTTTAGGGTGACTCAATGCAGCCAACTCTGACTGGTCTTTCACACTGTAATATGGAAGAAGATTGATTCTAACCTTCCATATGCAGCTATTCAAATAAACCCTCTTTTAACAGGCTTTGATTATCAGGCAATGGGGCAGTCTGGGAGGAAAGGAAACTTGGTGAGCACACCTCTCCCACATGGTCAGTGTTCAGTGGTAAAGTCTGCCCCATCCAGATTCAGATTTAAGCTACTTTTGCTTTCAGTGTGATTATTTCTGGCTTCCAATTAATGAATAGGCTACCTGGTATTTCCTTCCTGGTGCATATATCTGCCTGGAGAATGATCTGCCTAGTTTGCAGTAGCTTTAGATGTTAGTATTTGATATTCTGTATTTAGTAAATAATATTCTACATACTGTATCATCTCAGTCACTGTAGCAAAACCTCTCTCCTTGCCAAACAGAGGCATGATCAGCAAGCTTATTCTGGGATGTGGTTTCTTTTGGGGGCCAGGATTCATCCAAGACTCCCTGTAAATATCATGTAACTCTGGCAGCAGGACTGCCTGTCTGGTTGAGAGAGACGCTGTCAGGAGGTTGATTCCAAAAGGAAAGAGCTGAGACTGAAGCATTTTGTGGTATGGCTGGGATGGTGAAATGAAGTGCATTCCACGACTGAGAGAAAGTAAAAAGGAAAGCTAGCACGTGATACTCCCTTCACTGGACTCTGAGGAATATAGTGAATGCCAGAAAGTGTGGCAAAGCCATCTAATACAATTCCAATGTGTTCCTGTCTTCTCTTTCCTCATAGCCAAGCTGACTTGACTGTTCCTAAGCTGGTTAGGTGTTTGCTTGTGGGTTCTGAGTCGATGTATGGTCTGGCTAAAGATCTCACCTAGTATATGGGGGTTTTATCTTTTGCTTTTACCCATGTGCTCTTGTGTGAGGGAAACAGCTTCTAAAGGGCTGAGACTTACCTGTCCACATGGATCGGTGAGGAGTGTGAAGGCGGGATGGAGAGAGAAAGGTTTTACAGTTCAGAGAAAATTAGCAGATGTTGGGCTAATACAGAGCCTGCTGCTGAAAGTAATGGACCGCACAAATTGCTTTCTCTGGTGTGACAAAAAAGTGGATGCAATCGGAGATGCTCTTGCATGACCTTGCTTTCCTTCAGCCGTGACAGTCAAGGAATATATAATATCTAAATATGGCTTTAACCAGGGTTGCTGTTTGGAAACAGCTTCTTTCTGTAATAAAAGAGGAAAGGTTAAGCAGAGGTTAGAAAAACACCCATTTTTGGAGATCTTCTGAACATGGTTATGCTTTTTTGAACAAATTTACCCTTATACTGGGGACTTTTAGGATTCAGATGTTTTTTTGCCATGACTTATGGAAAACAAATGCATATAGGATAAAGATCTAGTTAAATTAATTCACAAAACCAAACACATTTATTGCATGTATTGTGTAGGCTATGTTATCTGCTATGAACAATAACTTTTTCAGTATTACCTGAGATGCACTTACCAAGACTGAAAGTTCTGTTTCAGCAAAGAGCTAAGCTAGTTTACCTGCCTGTAAGTACTTGTCTACTCCATTGATGTAGATCTTTTAATATAAATTTTGGTGACCTAAATTTTTGCATGACAAATGTGCTGTTTATTTTCAACACATGAAAAATGTCTTTAGCTTTTTTACAACTAAAACCTGGAATCGCTTTCATGGTTTTCTTTTTTTCCTGTTCAAGTGCCTCTAAGTCCACCAGCAAACTTGAAATTTTCTGATGTTGGACACAGCAGTGCTAAGCTAACATGGGATCCTGCTTCCAAAAATGTAAATGGCTATCGCATCATGTACGTTAAAACAGATGGAACAGAAACCAATGAGGTAAATTATTAGCATCTCTCTTCCCTTAACCAATCTCAGACCACCCCAAACTTCTGTAATTAAGGGTAACTTTTATAAACAAAAGCTTTCTTGCAAGCTGTAAGAAAAGATTTGCTAGATAATTCTGAAACAGCGCAAATAAGAGTTTGTTCAGTATCAGGTATGCACCTGGAGTGCATCATACATGTGGGGGACAGTACTCTGAAGTTCTTGCATACCAGAAAAATCATTGCTGGTGCATATAAACTGAAGGAAACTACTCAAATGAACCATGGTTTGTGGATGCAGGATCTTGACTAAATATATGGTATGGAAATAATATAACCATAATATATGGTTCTTGATCAGTCCAGATAATGAGATTTTTGGTATATCTTATGTCATGGACTCAAGCTCATTCAAAAAGGCTGCCCAAGGCTTTGCCACATTTTCTTAACATTTATTGCTCTAATTATATATTGAAATCTCTCTTCCTGGAAATGGGATTTGGCTTGAACAGAATGATAAGATGATACCAAGATGTTCTAACTCAGACTCGTGCATTTAGTAATTCACTTATGCAATTTTTAGTTACCCCTTGTTACTAAAGATGCTTTATAATAGCTTTTAGGAGCATGCATTCTGTGATAGAATGAAAAATGGGATGGAATGATCCTAATACAGAAATCTGAAAACACATAGAAAAAGATTAAAGAAGTAATGTCCATAAATGGGTCCAATTATTAAAACATTTTGGATCCCTTACAAAATAAGTTGTCATGGATAACTTAGTCCTCCAAAAAAGTCTTTAATAGCAGTTATGTGTAATTATATTTCCTCTGGGACATATCTGGCCTTCCATCCATGCAAGATGGAATATTTGTATGAAAAGTGAAGAAACTGCTCCTGAGTTTAGAGGAGAGTATACCTGTGCAATATTTTGTGACTTTTCTTTCTGCTAGGTCCCTTAAAATATAAATTAGTAGTTCCTTCCTATTGATTACCCTTATTATGGGTTATATGCCTGGCTGTAGCCATCACACTGATATTTGCACATCTCAGGCTTGTGGTAATATATTTAATAGTATGAGTGAATGTTCAGTAGGTTTTTATCTACCTCTTAAATTTTCTTTTATGTCTGTTCAAAGAACAGAAGGCATTTTTTGTTTGCATCGGTAGTGTTTTCCCTATGGTGCTGAGCCAAAGTCAGACTTAGACTGATAAGCTGTCAGTTTATACAGCTTTGAGTTTTATATCCCTGGCAAAGTCATGTTAACTGCAGCCTGATTAGAGACCAGATGAAACTGTTGCCTTGTCTCTTGACAAGTGTTACACATAATGGTTTATGCAATGATTGTCCGTGGTAATGAACTGGATGTAATAGCCCAGAAAGTTCCTTCACCCTCTGGGTTCCTGAACACGCAGTGCTGATACGCTAGTGAGTTAGCCTTACTAAGGCTGAATTCTCCTTTCCCCTAGTTTGTCAAAAAAAATATTTCCTTTACTCTAGTTTGCCTCTTTTAATTGATTCTGTCAGCTTTTATGGCCCTGAATTTATACTTGTTTATAGTTTCACAGAATTTCTCTACTAATTGCATGACAGAGTACTCTCTTTCTGTATCATTATTAACCAGCAGAATTTCAAACACTGCTAATGTAAAGTGTATGAGTGATATCTATTGCAAATTCTCTTTTCTCTAGGTGGAAGTTGGTCGTGTTTCAACCCATACTCTAGAAAGTCTGACATCCCTTACAGAGTATACTGTTGCTATTTTCTCCCTGTATGATGAAGGACAATCTGAACCACTTACTGGCAGCTTTACCACAAGTAAGTATTTTTTGAAGGCTTTCCAAGAAGAATTTTTATATTCTCTGACTTTACTGGAAAGTAAGACCAGTAACAGCAAGTGCCTCTGGCTGTGGATTCAGACGTAGGGAGTGCTTTCTGTTATTCTCATTGGCGTTTTCGGCTTCTTTGCTCCCTTATTTACGGGGCCAATTGCATCCTTACTCATGGGATTAATCTCTTGACATCATGAAAACATTTGTGTGGATAAGGTTCATTTCTTAAATCTTTCCACAACTGGCCATTTTAAAGCATCTTTTATTGCAGTTAGGTAGTAAAGCATTTGTCTTCCCAGCTTTCTGAAGTATCATTCAGTGTGATGGCATTTGTCTCTCCAGCTGAAGACTGATAAGTTTTGAATCATATACATTTAACCAGTGAACCATCTAGGCAAAATAAATAAAATATAAGACATTTAAGGCTCCTGTAGTCCATTTAGCACAGTTAGTTTCTGTAACTGTAGTTCTTCATTAAACAAATGGCTGATGCAAATCTCAGAGAATAATTTACCATCACTTTTCTTTTGCATAATATTTTGCAGAAAAAGTTCCAGCTCCCCAGCATTTGGAAATTGATGAAGCATCAACAGATAGCTTCAGGGTCAGCTGGAAGCCCACCTCGTCAGATATTGCTTTTTACAGACTGGCATGGATCCCTTTGGATGGGGGGGAATCTGGAGAGGTGAGTTGCCGTGACTTTCTGAGGGTATGAAATGGAAGAGAGAATTCCATTCTGAGGAAACCTATGCTGGAGTTTTTACCAATTAAATATGATCGATTGACAGAAAAATCTGCCCCACTGCAAAGCTCTCTAAACCAAAATCAAACCAATATTCCAGTTTCTTTTTGAAAGGAAAGTGAGGTAAGAAGAGTTTGTTTGTGAATAAGCTGTAACGTGCCGACTGCCATAGAACTAGCATTGCTTTTTGATGCTACTTCAGTTGTTAGAGGTCCATGGTCTTCATTTTGCTGTGAAGCTGAGCCAGAGCAGTGATATCCTCACCTAAGGCTCCAAATCTGTCTAATATGCTGACCACAGTGAAGTTGCCGTGAAGCCTCAGTTATATAATGCTACTAAGGGAAAAGTTTACACACAGTTAATTTGTTAGACCGTTCCTTTATTCCTTATTACAATTCTTCTCTTTTTCCCCCTCACGCTGTATTTTTTACTTTAGGCCCTTGTGCTTCTTCTCCATAGTGCTGTTTTCATCAGCCTGAATTTTTAAATTACTTTTCATCCCTTTTGCTTGTCCTGTTTTATTCTCTCTTTCCAAGTAGAAAATGACAGACACTTTCTCACCCTTTCCCAAATTTTCATCTTTCGTAGTTTGTCTCATTTCTTCTTTCCCTTTCTTTCTTCATTTACTCATTCCTTTGGAGTCTTTTGTACTTCTCAGTCTTTAATGACTCTCTCAAACATCTTGCTCTTTTGGCATTCACACTGTGAAGAAAGGCCACATTGGTAAACTGTTTATCTGTGTACAGAACTCAGTGGGGAAGAGGACATTTCCTACCCGGCCCTAGGTTTCATGCATCATGTTGTCATCCATTATGGCAGAAAGCAGTCATTGCACCTTAGGTTATGTGGCATTTTTTTCTGTAAATTTAGCTTAGCCTGATTCTTTCCTCCCTTTCACCTGGTGAGAGGTAGTCATGCAAGAAAGAAAGGAATTACAGGAGGGAGCAGGGAAAAGGAGGAGTTGGCAGATGAGTGAGTGGACACAGGTCATCCCCTAGCATTTTCTCCTGCAGTAGATGTACTGATTTGTTTCTGTTTAAGTTCCAGTGAGTAGCTGTCAGTGCATCCCTTTAAGCCATATGCATTCTTAAGAGAGATTTATATCATCTTTGTTCTTTGAGTGTGAAAATAAATGATTAAGAAATATTTGAACTGTTAAGGTTCTACTTGTTCATTGTATTCACTAAGAACTGCTGGAGGCCCTAATATTTTAGTATGTTGAAATATTAAAAATACCCGAGCTGCTTTCTTGTTCTCCTTGCACGACCTCTCTAATGGGGTCAGGCCTAGGATAGCACAATACCTCCAGGCTGTTGCCTCTTTAAGCTTCTTTCCCAGCTAAGTGATCAGTCACGCAGAGAAATGACATGCACTCCCTCTTCTTTCTTCCAAGACCCAACTTGCCAATTAGCTGAATAGGGTCAGGGGGTGGTGGTGGTAATTACACACCTCTCGGCCTATTTCACCTACGCTGCTGGTGGGTGAGGAGTGTTTAGTGGGGTGTTAGTGCTAAAAAGCCAGAATAAATTTAAGAGTGACCTTTAATTTCTATGCTACAGTAGAGAATGCGTGCTGTTACACTCCTGTGCTTGAACTATTCTTGGTTCTGTTATTTGTCCTCTCCACCTAAAAGTTCAGCATTTATGTTCCTTTTCTGTGGTCTTCTCTGTGGGCCGAATTAGCAGGGAGTGGAGTGGGATTCAGAAAGTAGACCAAAGTTATGTGTGAGGTAGTAGCTGTGTATAGATATTTTGTAATGATTCGATACATGGCCAGAGGCTCTGGGGAATTGGGAAGGAAGGTACTACTTATACCTAATTAGTATGCAGCTAGACTCACTCAAGCTTGTTTCTGAAAACTTCCCAAGCAGATCTGTGCCAGAAAATGTGCAGCTTGGGATGCCGAATTCATTACTTGATAGTTGTAGAAGGCATGGCCCCAACTCATTTCTTTCTGCTTTTGTTTTCTGAATCTGAGTTCAGAAGGTCTGTGATTGTTATATGGGTCCCTCTTCCACAGGACCCACTCAGGAATCTCCTGTGGTAATTAAAAGAATGATCTGTGACTCCCTGTTTCTGCTAACTGCTGTAGTAGATTTTATGCAGCATATGCCTATTGCTGGATTTCCATTATGTCTTACTTTGATTCTGTCTGTACAGTGTCCACCTTTAAAAACCTCTCTAGTGTTAACCTAGAGAAAGGTTGTTTTATCGTAGAGTCTGTCTGCGTAACCTCAAAACTAGTGAGCCTGTTTCGGCAGAGTTACTGCTCAGGCTCGTTGCATTCTGCTTTACAGTCCTCCTAGCTTTCACTCCTGCCCATCTGCTGATCCCTGCCACAAAATAAATGAAACACAAGAATCTGAACTGAAATCTTCTGCTTACAGTTGACATTGCACATGTGAATCTCCTGCCACTGTCATAGGTAGAAATTAGGAAAATGACTATTTAAAACCATATATCAAACTTCTTATCAGCACATCTCCCCTAATCCCCAAGTCTGCAGCAAATATTCTTTCAGGTTGCATTCAGGTGTGTGGAAACCTAACTCGGCTTATAATTCTGGTACAGAAAACAGCATTTTGTAAGGCTGTGGAGGTGCTGAATACATTTGTCATAGCAGTGCTTGAATGGCAGAAATAGGAATGAAAATTCGTCTACCCTGTCATGTTGTTTTCATCGATGAATGTTTCGAATTTTGGTGATTTGCAAATGAAATGCATACGGTCAGCTTTAGCAATTAATTAGTTATGGGTAAAAGTATAAGACTACACAATAGAATTCAAGCTAGTAACAAAACAATAAATACATTTTAAGTATTCTTAACAGTATTTTAAGTATGCTTGACAGTGATTTTTCCAGATGTACTCTGTGATACTTTTTATTTCACCATAGCTAATAGATTCTTTGGGCAGATCTGACTGTAGATTTCATTTATTTCAAGGGAGAATCTGGTTTCATTCTTTAATGTCCGTCAATTCATATAAATCAATCAAATACAGAACTGATTTTTTCTAATCTTGCTGTGTTACTTAGGTTGTCGTAAATGGAGACACGGACAGTCATGTTATTGAGGGTTTGTTGCCCAACACAGAATATGAAGTTTCTTTGCTGGCAGTTTTTGATGATGATAGTGAAAGTGAAGTTGTTGCAGTCCTTGGAGCTACATGTAAGACAAACTCTTGATTATAATTTTTAGAGACATTTAAGTGATTTAAATTTAACACATGTATCTTACATTTAAAATACAATCTATCTTTGCATAGCTATAATACTGAAGAATGTGGTGGTTTCGCACCGGGGCTGTGCTGACTGTATTTTTTGCTTTTCTTATTTCATATTATGTGGTAGATGGCATTGAATCAAAATGATGGTTTGGCTCTCTGTCTGAGCTTTGGTATTAATAACCTTTGGATCTGGGTAGATGCTCTTCCATCCCACACTTCAGTATTTGGTCTTTGAACAGGGCTCCTTATGAGAAGATATATAAGATTTTGCAGGGGTGGAGTGAAATGTTTTAAAGTAAATAATTTACAAGAATTTCCTTTAAGATGTTTGGCCTTTACAGTATACCAGTTTGTTTCTTATTTATGTAATTTATTCTTACTAGAGGATAATTCACTCTTGGCTGAAACACTGAACCAAAAAGCTTACATAGACATCCTGTGGTGTTAACATAGAAGTAACAAAAGATAGAACTTGAAAATCATGTACAGTGTATTTTATAGTTTATAATTGAAACAGTGGCCAGCATTCCAGGTGGATAGCTCTATCCATTCTCTTTTTATGGATGGTGACTAGGTTAAGTAAACAATTATGTTTTTCATGTGTAAATTCAAAAATTTATTTGATTCATAGTAATTTAACTGCAGGCTTAATCTTGAACCTGCTGTTCAGGCAAGAAGCCTTTACGCATCCAAACGATGCTGATATTACCCAGTGTTGCTGAGTGTACTTTCTGTTTTTCACTTGGACAGAAGTGGAGGACCCTTGAAAAGCTTTCCATCTAATTAATCTGCCCACCTTAACAAATGTTCAAGGTGGAAGTCATTATGCCCAGTTCAGCCAGAAATGTGGGAAGCTATGTGCACTCTTACTTAATCATCCAGTTTATAATTCTGTTTCATCTGTAGATCTGAGTGCTAATCCTGCAAATATATGTGCCTAAAGTTAACTAAATGAATAGCTCCCTTGTAGTCTCGGAAATGCCTGAAGTGTGTGGGATACTGGTAGGTGTGAGCACATAGTTTTATTGTCATAGAAATACCAGATAAATTCTGTGACTTCCATGTCTTATGGGATTGTTAGTGAGCTGAGTATTGTTTTTTCAGTTGCAGGGACTACCATGATACCTACTACGGTGACTACTACCAGTACCACAACTTCTAAGCCCACCACAGCAGGTAGGTTACAGAACAAATGTCAGCAGTTTAAATGCTGAATGCAATGTGCTAAGGCTGCCCGTGAGCACGCCCAGATCTGGGGGCAGAGAGCTGTGCTGTTAGAGGAGCCGATAACCCCAGTTCCTGCTGGTCCATGCGTTCAGCACGCTGCCATGGCAGGGCTTGTGGAGGTGTAAACCCCGGGCAAGAGACATCACCGGTGAAAGGTGCACGCTATCACGCTTCTGCACCACCCTTCTGCGTGCGGCCGGCCGGCTTCCCGCACGGCCACATGTGGATCAGGAGCCAACTGCCATGCGGAGCCAACCTGTAACACACTGTAGGGCCTCTGAATGATATCAGCGTTACTACGTAGGACTACAACAGTGGGGAAAATTCAGCTCTCTTTTCTTTTTCCCTTTATAAATACGGGCTTGGAAACTCTTCAGGATTTTCTTTAGAGTGTTCTGTTTGTTTTCCCTGGAATTAGAAAACTGACTTTTAAGGAACAACAGTTCTGGATTATTTATCTTCTGTAGCATTCTAGCTGGAGTTTTGATTATTCTAAAGCTCCATAAGCAGAGTAATGTAAACAAAGCAGATGGGGTAATATATGTTGATGGCAGTATAGGATAACTATTATTTTATTAAATGGTTAAAGTTTTTATGTTATTAAGCCCAAGTATGACTGAACTGTATGGGTTTGCCCCACTATGGATCTGCAGACCTGCCATGACTTCAGTAGAGCTTGCAGCTACTTAGTGATAATTAACACAATTTAAAATCTAAAATTAGAGTTAAGAAAATATTAATGAAATATTTTTGGGTTTAGTTTTTCGAACAGGAATCAGAAACCTTGTTATAGATGATGAAACAACATCAAGTCTGAGGGTGATGTGGGACATATCAGATTACAATGTCCAGCAGTTCAGAGTGACCTATCTCACTGCGAAAGGTGACCGCGCTGAGGAAGCGGTAAGAATGGTCTGTATAGGTTTTGTGAATGCCTTCATAAGCTTGAAAAGGTTGTTTAATAATTGCTAAGGCATGGTCTCCCCTTATCTGACGCTCCTGGTGCAATTAGGAAAAGATCACTGGTTGGTATTAGTGTGAGATTGAACATCAAAGTTCTAACCGTATAGCAGCTGCTGCACTGTAGGCAACAGCAGTTAGCTGTAAGATCAAGGCCCAGTCACACAGATGTTTGAAGAAGTCATAGCAGCTGGAAGATTGGCTGCCTTTCTTCTTTCTTCCATATTCTAAAAATTTGTCTAAGTTTTGTTTTCTTTTGCTTGCTTGTTTGTTTTTTTACTCCCAGGACTTTTTCTTTCCCAAGATTGTGTTTTAACAACACTTAAATGTTTGTATAGGACAATCTTAGGTAATATTTTTTTTCCTTCAGAAATTTTGCTTTTTCCCTAAAAGCCTCATTTTTAGCTAAAACAATGTAGTTAAAATTCAAATGCATTTTCACACTGCTTATCAATCTGAACATGTTACATCAAGGCCAGCACTTTTTAATCTAAGTGCCTAAGAATATTTGTTATTTTTCTAATACCATGTGATGATCAAAATTAAAATTATCTTAAAAAAAGTTTCTGGTGATCAAGACTTTGGAAAATATTTGAATGAATGAAGAGTATTGCAGGTACTCTTTTGTGCGTATAGCAAATAATAATAAAAAGAAGCCCTAGCTGTAAGTTTAAGAATTCACAATTTTTGAGGTAATTGCAGAATTCTGGGAGGCCAAGTGCTACTTCTTTTTTTTATTTATTTTTTAGGTTGGAGGAATCTTAGTATTTCAGTGCTTGGTTTCCACAAAAACTAAGTTATAAAATTTTGAGACAGCTCTATGTAGATACATTTAAGAGATTAAATTGTATAGTTCCAAGTTATATTCTCAGTAAATGCTCAGAATGCAAAAATACTCCCTGTATCATTCTCCTTCTGGGTGTCATGTGACTCACTTCTGTTCATAGAACTGTTATATCAAAAGTATGGAGTATTCTTTTTGATGTCTAGCAGCTGACAGTTTTAGCCCTATCTCAGACTGTATCAATTAAAACTTTGAAAAGGATTTAATTGAATATTTATTTTCTAGAAAAATAAGAATCAGTCTTTTTTCATTTAGGATCACTGATCTTTTATGAGACCTTGGCATAAAATTACTTTTTAGCCATCTCTTTCACCTATAATCTGAAGATGAACTAGTGGTTTCCTTTTGGACTAGACAGCATGCTTTATGACTTTACCTCAATTATGTGATAGTATAGTGTATAATACAGTGGCAAACTTGCATAGCATAATGGCACAAATTGTACTGTTCTTCTGACAATAACCCAAAGCTGCTGAAATTCAGATCCCAGATTTACTGTTTCAGCTCTGGAAAGCTTAATCAAATTCAGTTGGATGATATAAATGTTTCAGTATTCAGTGACCATTATTTTAAAAGGAAATTAAAACTGTAGGAGAGGTATTAAAATTCTGGATATCAGAAGGATATTATAGTTCACCCAAAAGCTCATTAAAGAAAATCATAAAATTGTAGCTTTAGGTAGGTATCCTGGCTCTATTTCTGCAAATTACAGAATTTTTAGTACACTCTCAAGTTGTATTATCTTTGGTCACAATTCAGCAAAGAGGTTAATCATGTCTTTTCATCTTTGAAACTGATCATGTGCATAAATACTGAGTAGGGAATGATGTCAAGTTTATCCTTAAGATTAAGCACACTTTAAACAGAAGGAATGGATTTTATCACGTGGTTTCAAGCACCTGAGTGATGCAACACAGGTGTCAATAAAACGACACAGGCATTCAATTTTTGGGGGAGTGTTTATATGTTTAAGTGCATTTGTTAAGCAGAACCCAAAAGTTTAGTGGAATTTGGGCTTAAATACACTATGGTGTGACAATTGTGTGATGGATGCTTACGTTTTTTTGGCTCTAATTTCAGTGATATAAATTTCAGTTACTCCTCCCTTTCCATAAAAAGATTAATAAGCTTTGTGATCCTTGATGCAATTGGCTGAAAACTGGGACTAGAAAATGTAAGAGGATACTTTTCAGTACAGAAGGGTCAAGCCCTAAATCGCATGTTTGTTCTTGGGAGTGCTGTACATACTGGAAGGATCACTTTTTTTTCCTTCCTTAAAGCCAAGAATGTTTTTCACTGCTGAAAACTATATTGGTCTGTAGAAGATCTCTGATGTGCACATGTGGGAAAGAGAGAGTTCTCAATGCTCACATCCCCTCTCCCAAAAGAGCCAAAAGAAGTTGGTTGTTCTTTTTTTAGAAACTTGGTTGGTGTGTTTTGAGTATATTTATGGAAGAGTTTAGCATGGGAATCTTTCATGCACATGTATTTAGATGGTTTTGTCCAGTTTTGATCAATGAATGAAGTACTTCTTTGACAAGTCTCAACACCTGGGTGTGCTAGATTAATTTCCTTCTGTATATCCTTATCAAAATTAGAAGTAGTTTGAATGTATCCTGGGGTATTAATACTGGTGAGAGCTTTCTTGCCTGGGTATGTACTTCAGAAAATTTTGCTCTGCCATCATCACATGCATCAGTCTTCTTTGAAAAAAACAAAACACTTATAGGCCCAGTTTCTGCTTGTCCCCCTTAATCATAGAATCATAGAATG